AAAGGCGACGAAGCTATTGAATACAGAACCAAACACAATGGAAGAACGCTTGGAGCGCGCCTTATACATTAATGCAGCCATTTCGACGGCTTTGAAATTGATGCCTTTGGAGGTTGCTTTGCAGTGTCCGAGTGTGAAATGGGCAATAAAACAAGCGGAGTGTTATATGGAGGGTGGAACGCCTTCTTTGGACACGCTTGCCATGTCTCTTTCCGCCTATGTGCGCCTTGGCCCGAATGCTGCGGCAGCGCGAACCGATGCCTTATGGGAGCGATACACCAGGGTACACGACAGCGATGAACTGTGTCGCTGTATTCTACGCGCTCTTTGTTGGGCAGAGGACCCTTGCTATGTTGAGAACACCGCAAAGAAGTGCATTTACAATGAGGGCATTCGTGCACAATACGGTGGGGTGATCTTTGTGGGGGTTGTTTCTAACCCTTCAATGCCGAAGGGTTACGCCTGGTCGCTGTTCAAGAAGCACTTTCAGGGGGTGGAAAAGCAATGGGGAAGTGGAACTTTTCGCATACAAAACATCGTGGAGAGTGTTGCTCGCTCCCTTACAGGAGAAACCCAGGCGAAGGAGTTTCATGAATTTTTTCAAACCCATCCACTGCCTCATGCAAGGTTGGCCATTCATCGGGCTGTGGAGGACATTCGACTGCGTACTTGGCTGAGGTCCAAATGGGGTGTTGGGACACGTCTGAGTTCCATTTTCTTTCCACACTAAGGCATGTGACTGACTTTTGGCTTTGCATGCATTGAGAGGAAACGAGGTACAGATAGAAGGGCTTGGTATCTAGCGGAGGTGACGCTAAACAAATATGAGAGAAATATCAAAAAAAAAAAAAAAAAAGAAGCGGGAAAAGAAAAAAATTGTGCAGAGGGTTAGAGTGGGACAAGGAAAAATTCATATATATATTTATATATATTTGCCATTTTTGGATGCGGTCTAGCAATTTCCGCCACGTATTTTAATGAATTTTGATAGAATAGGAGGAACAATCATAAAGAAAACCGAAAACAAAACAATGGGTGGTTTATCGTTATTGCTATTATTATTGCCCGCTGCTGTTGACTGCTTTTATTCTCTTTGGTTATTCTTTTTTAAAAATATATATATACCTGGTGCATATGTGTGTGTTTGTGTGTCTGCATTTATGGCTGGGTGAGAAGATGGTGAGAGAAAGAAAGCCAACGCGAATTGGAAGGGGAAAAGGTTTTTATCCATGAGGTCCAGGCTTTTGGTAATTGGCGCCGGTGAGCTTGGCACGGCGTGTGCGCTGTCGCTGCTGGCAAACATGGGAGGGAGGGACGCTCGGGCCGGGGATGTGGTCACAATGTGTGCCCGCGACAGGGAATATCTGCAGGAGCTGGAACACGGCTCACAAACGTTTCGGTTGTTTGGAAGAAACATCCGCGTTCCATCGCAGATGTGCTTCCAAGCCCTGGGCGAGGAAATGGCAGAGGAGGCCTTTCACTGCGAGGCTTCGTTGCTGTGTGTGCCTGTGTCGTGTTTTGCAGAGGGAAACGGCGACACTCCGCGTGAGAAAGCATCTGCTGGTGTGTGTGATTGCCTTGGAAGGCATGCGGATGCGCCTATATTTGTTTTTGGTCGCGGTTTTTCACGGGACGGACTCACGCCTGTGGAGGAACTGAACCGCGTGATTCGTCCCCGGCCGTCGAAGTTAGTCGTCGTCTCGGGGCCGTTGTTTGCGAAGGAGTGGGCCGCAGCGTCGGTGCAGGAAAACACCACTAGCACCAGCAGCAGAAGCAGCAGCCATGCTGCCAGTAGAAATAGTGGGGTGTCTATTGCATTTGCCATGGCCGATGAAACGGACGCGGAGACGCTACAAGCAGTGAAGGACATATCGCAGCGTCTTTGGTGCCGCGAGAGTGTCACGTGGTTGACAGAACCGAAATCTTCAGGGCTTCTTTCACTTGTTAACGGGTGTTTCCCGTTGTGTAGTATGGGCGCTGGAATGGTGAGCAGCGAGTACCCTGCCTCTGTCTCAGCGATGATGTCTTACATGCAGCATGCCATTAGCGCGACGGAGAAACTCGTGAACGAAGTCCTCTCCCGTCCGCAAGGCGCACCTTTGCCGGCGTGTGCGGTAGCCACACTCGCGATGGCGTGCACGAATCATGCCTCACGAGAGTTTATTTTTGGGCGACGCCTAAACTTTCATTTTCGTCATCGTGATGCCATTCGTGCTGTTTTTCCAGGGAACTCCCATGAGTCGCTGGACGCGTCGGTGGCAGGACTTCACACACTATTGAAGCGGCGATCGTTTTCATCGCCGTTCTATGAAGTGTTGATGGACGCGTTCCTGACGGTTTTGCGGGCCTCTGTGGCAGGGCGCGGCCTCGTGAAGACGGGATGTTACGATTACCGTGATCAACTCTCTGTTGAGGATGCCCCGCTGCTTCGACACGTGTTGGCGGTGGACGAAGCAATGCATTCAGGCGATGAAGACCGCTTCAATAAGGCTCGCCACACATTGGAGGTTGAGTTTAATAATTCTGCGACGCCATCATCAGGGTTGTGAAATGAGCACTTCCCTTCTCTCTTCCCTTACCTCTATAAATACATGCGTGTGTGCATAAATACCATTTGCCCACCGTTCTTTGCTTTCAATGAAGCACACAAATCACTTTCATTACCTTCCTGCTCCCGCATTTTGTCTTGTTTTTCCAGTTTATATATATATATATTTTTTTTTCTTTATTTTCTTTTAAAAGACAAGTCTCAAAAACAAAAAAAATAATAAAGAGAAGATATATATACCTGATTGGTGTGTGGTGGGTGTCTGTTTTTACGCAGCACCCAAACAACGTGGGAACACCGCTGCTTTTAGGGGGTGCATGCGTGGCGGACCAAGAACAGAATGGGACGCATTACAATTGAGTTATTGCGTCGTCGTGCGGAGCATAACGAGGGGTGTCTAAGCAATCTGAAGGAGATTGCTCTCCACCAGCAAGACATTGAGAAGATCGAAGTGGTTGGAGACGCATGCCGCGAGCTGGAGATTCTGTATCTATGCAACAACTACATTTCGCGGATAGAGGGACTGCAACATCTCAAGCGTCTGAAATACCTAAATCTGGCTGTGAACAATATCGCCTGTATAGAGGGACTGGAGGGGTGCGAGTCGCTTGAACGGCTAGATTTGACGCTGAACTTTGTTGCAGAAATGACGTGTGTCCAAAGGCTGCGGGCAAATGTCTTTCTGGACCAGCTTCATCTTACTGGTAACCCCTGCACAAAGATTGAGGGTTACCGCGCCTATGTTATCCATGCACTCCCGCAGCTGCGGGACCTAGATGGGGAGGAGGTGGTGCGCTCGGAGCGTATCGAGGCACGCCAGTGCAATAGCGACGTGGCAGCGGTTGTGGACGAGGCGGCGCTGCGTGTCCGCGAGGCGGAGCGCATCAAGGCGGAGATGATTGCGCAAGGCATTGATGTCTTTCCGCCGCGGTACAATGAGAAGGGCGAGCGGGTGTACGGGCACACGCCGGAGGAGCGGCTGCAGATGCTGCGCGAGAAGGAAGAAGAAGAGGCAGAACGAGAAAAAAAACTTCAAAAAGAACGGGAGAGCGGTCACTTGGCGTCTGTGAGCGCTGAGGTAAATAAACGGCCCCAGCGTCTCTCTGCGGAAGAGGAGATTGCAAAGTACGGCCGGTTGCTTCTCCGAAATGAGCCTAAATTTCCGATGCGGCTGGATGAAGAGAGTGACGAGACGGCGGTCATTCTTACGGTGGACGTTCCAAAGTTTCTCTCCACCACTCTTATAGATGTGCAGATTGAGGTGAATTATATCCGTCTCTTGGTGAAGGAGAAACTCATTCAGGTGCCGCTGCAGCGCGAGATTGCTCCCTCTGCAGCGAGAGTGCAGCGGTCTGTGGTAACGGGGACACTCAACATAACGATACCATACGCTTCGCATGTCTTGCAGGAGATTGAGGAAGCAAAGAAGAGACGGCAACGACTGCATGGCACATGGAACGATGATGAATGCAGTGAACCCCTGGAATGACGCCCAAGCGAAAATAAAATAAACAGGAGAAAAGATTCTTTTTGTGGTGCCGCTATTCTCTCTGTTTGTTTCCGTGTTTTCCGATTGATTGATTTGTCAGTTTTTCTGTGAGATGCTTTGTTGCCCATACGGACTGTGGGGCGGGGCGAGTATCCACGTCATTTGTTTACCACAAAAAAAAAAAAAAAAAATGAACACGCGAGTGCTGTTGTTGGATGTACGCGTGACTATAAATTATTCACCAGCGATTTCTCATGATGTCCCTGAGGTGCAAGAAAGGGACAAATTCAACAATGGATTCTTATGCTGTTTTTTTTTTTTTTTTTTTTTTTCTTTTTTTTTTTTCTTTTTTTTTTTTTCTTGTTGTTGTTGTCTCACCGCAGTAACGTGTGCGACCTTCTGCATCGCTTGAGCACACAAATTTTCTTTTTTTTTTTCCCAGAATAGTGACGGCTGCTAAGCGATGAATCAGCTTATCGCTGTTGTAAACGAGCTTCACGATGCCTTCGCAAATGTGAAGATGAACATCAAGTTGAATCTGCCGCAGATTGCGGTGGTGGGTAGTCAGAGTTCTGGCAAAAGCAGCGTGCTGGAGGCAATTGTAGGGAAAGACTTTTTGCCTCGTGGTTCCGGCATCGTGACACGCTGTCCCCTCGTGCTACAGCTTGTGCAGCTCCCCAAAACATCCGAGGAGGAATGGGGGGAGTTTCTCCACAAGCCAAACAAAAAGTACTTTGACTTCTTGGAGATCAACGAGGAGATTAAGCATCGCACGGTGGAGATCGCGGGGAATTCAGCCATCTCAGAGCGGCCCATTAACCTCAAGGTGTACTCAAAAAATGTGCTCAACCTCACACTGGTGGATCTGCCAGGACTCGTCATGAACGCTGTGGGGGACCAGCCAAAGGACATTGACCGCCAAATCAAGGAGATGGTGACCCGCTACGTCGCCCCAGTGAACACCATCATTCTTGCCATTTCGCCGGCAAACACGGATCTCGCGACGAGTTCCTCGCTGCGTCTCGCGAAGCAGTTGGACCCGGAGGGCATCCGCACGGTGGGCGTATTGACAAAACTTGACCTCATGGACCGCGGCACGGACGCGCTGGATGCTCTCACCGGGAAATTGGTGAGTCTCCGCCACGGATTTGTTGGGGTAGTGAACCGCAGCCAGCAGGATATCAATGATTCAAAGGGCATGCTGGCGGCACGAGAGGACGAACGTGCATTCTTTCACAACCACCCATCATACTCTGCCATTGCCGACAGACAGGGAACGGAGTACCTCGCAAAGAAGCTCAATCAGCT